GACTGCTGTGCACCATAAAATAACTGCTGCTTGTGTTTTCAGTGGTAGGCTACAAGGTATAATTTACCTTTTGAAAGAAAGTGAGCTTTTGGAACAATTTCTATGGCTCAGCTCTCCTGTCTGCCAAAAAGGATATCTGGGCCTCATAAAAGTATTTGTTTTTATTAGATTTTTGTTTTGAAATGAATGGTTGCATGCTGATAAAAATTCCCACGGAGAGCCTTCCCACTTGCCTCCCAAGTTTGTAAAAGTAACATGGTCCTGCAGTGGCTTGAAGTGAACTATGCTGCATGAAAGTGAGACTTGTTGTAAAAGATATTAATACGATGTAGTAGACTGAGAGATGGAATTAGGGACAGCCCCCTCTTACACTCCACAACACGAACAAGATTCAAAGCTGGAAGAACCTAACTTTTTTTTGCTGAAGTTGTGTGTTACGGAGTTTTGGTGACTGTGGACATTTTCCCCCTCTTTGATGGGTCGTTTCCAATCCAGATCCTTTTTATGGTTCTATGATTCTAATGATCTGGTTTGTGGCATGACCCCAGAAACAGATAAGTAGGGGCAGGGAGCTTTAGGATGGAGAATGAGCGGTTGCAAGGAGGGAAGAGACAAGAATTATTCATGCTGGTTTCACCTTAGAAATGATTCCTTCATGTGCCTGTGGTCATGAGCTACAACATATAGAAGAGAAACATAATAAAACCTGGGCACCCCAAGGAAGTAACCAATGTCAAGATGATAACTTGGTTCCAGGTGCATTTTATAATCAGCGTGACTGCTGTTAGGCATTGTTTTATATCATTTGGTAAGAACCACTGGACTAGTGTCATTGCCAGTAATCTGTTTTCAAGATGCGTTTCCCTTATTGCGGTTGCTGTCAACATGCTTTGGGATGACTGGGATCATGTATGCATGCATGCTCTCAGTTAGTAATTTATCATGAGAATTCTAACAAAGTTAAATCACCTCTCATTCAATGCAGGAATGGGTTAGAGCAATCTTGAACTGGTATGTTGTGTCAGTTTATAATGTGGAGACATGGTTTGTAAGCTTTAGTAGATTGTCCTAGGTAGAATTGTGCATCCTTTCCATCTGTATTTTCTATTCTAGCTTATTTTCATTGTGAAATAATGGTTTTAATAGAAAACTGAACAAATTATAGAGAATCTTCTCTCGTAAGGTTAGAGTATAAGCAAGCTGAGCCACTGGAGGCTTGGACCTTCTAACTCTTTCCAAGTATGAGCAGTAAGCACAGAACTGGTCCAGGAGTGCTGGATGGGTGGGTTGCCATCTCTGCTCTGCTGGCTGCTGTGGTTGCTGATCAGGAAGAGGTGCGTTGGGTGGATGGTCATGAGTTGATGAGGTAGCAATGACTAGGAGCCCCCAAAAATGTGAGCTAAAACTATTACTTTCTATTTATTTTTCAAAGTAATTTGAGAATAACAGCTTTCCCCCCCGCCCCCATGATCTCTGTTACAATGTCATTTTTAGGTCTGTAATATTAACCCTTCTGAGCTTGAGAAGGAATCTTGTGTATAATTATCAATGTGATTCCAATTCTTATATATACTGGCAGAGGTCCTGCAACGATGCTTTACGTTGTAGCTTGATTTATTTTGCTGAAGTCTCTTGAAAGAAGTTTAAGCGAGACTGGAAAATTCCTTTCTTCTGAAAATTCATATAGGTTCATTAAATTTTACAATTCATTTAAAAACTTACCTGTGAGTTAGGATCCTGGAATTAAATAGAAACCTTTCCATATACCTAGTACAAAAAAGTGCCATGCTCATCTCAATATAATGTGAGTAGAGCAGATTGAAATTTCTTTTGGAAGCATTTTTGGACCCAAATGTATAATTTCTAAAGGTAAAACTTAAAATTAGCTGGATCTTTTTGAAGCCTTGTGATTCCTGTTCCAGCATTCAATGGCTCATCTGAAGTAAATGGAGTTGCTGAATAGCTGGTGTCACTAGCTGTTACAGAAATCTTATTTCTCTCTTGGGTCGCATTACTTCAGGGGTTTTGAGTAGTATAGTTAGTTTTACTGTGGGTTTTGTATGTGTGGTTTTTTTGGTTTTTCTTTTTTTTTTTTTTTTTTGTTTTGTATGTGTGGGGTTTTTTTTGGTTTTTTTTTTGTTTTTTTGTTTTTTTTTTAAATGGTACTTATGCCTAAGTACCTTGCTTATGCAGACCCTTGTGGACAGCGCACGTGGCACTGTTATTACATGGTCAATGCTGTTTCACTTCACATGGCACTGGGAGTGTTCAGTGTGTCTCAGGTGAGGCATTACTAATGGTTGGCGGGATAACAATTTATGAAAGCATGCCTCCACCATTTCAAATGCTTTTTGGATATATGCCCTTCACTTATATAAATTTCTTTCACATTTGTGCAAAGATGCAAAGGTTGCTGTGCGTTCATAGCATAAAATATAAGAACAAATACACTTTTATTTAAATCGGGCTGGAATCTAGTTTCTGTCACACTGAAGCCTATGGTATAATCAACTTTTTTAATGGAAAAAGTATGCAAATTATGTCAGCAAGCCAAGGAAATGAGGCTCTTCTGGGTTAATATGTTGAATCGGGTCCTAGATCTAAGGACTTATTCTGAGCCCTCCATTGGTGATGGATGACACGTCCAGGTTGGTTTATTGTTGGCTTCCAAGTCTTGGGCACTGACCAGCTGAACTGGCATAATCGAAAGCTCCTTTAAAAGATGTTTCTGGATGCAGCTGTGGTTAACTGTAACCTAAAATCGTGGTTTGATAGTCACAATGTTATATGAAAATGGTACTGCTTCAATGGGATTAAAAAAAAATATATATATGCTGCAGCTTTGTGATGTACAGAGCTGATGTAGTATAACTTATTTTGACAGGACAGGTGGTTTTTTTAGGGGAGGTTGGGTTTTGTGATTGTGGTGGGTTAGCAGTGGCTAACAGCCAGGCTCCCACTCAGCTGCTCGCTCTCTGCAGCTGGGCAGGGGCCTAAAGCAGAAGGAATGGGGTGAGAAAGCTTCTGGGTAAAGACAGGGAGATTGCTTACCAGTCCCTCCTGAGGGCAAAGCAAACTTGACTTAAGGAAAATGAATTTGTTGCCAATTAAAATAGATATTTAATTACTTTCAGGTAGTGGGGAACGACGACAACTATGAACACCTTTCCTCTCCCTTTTCACAAGCTCACCTTCACTCCCAACTCCTCCTCCCCCTCCCAGTGCCACAAGGGGACGTGGTCAGTACATAGGGGTTTCTCTGCCACTCCTTCCTTCTCGCGCTCTTCCTCTCGTTCACTGTGGTCTCTCCCATGGGCTGCAGTCTTGTCAGGAAAAATCTGCTCTGGTGTGGCGCCCTTCATGGGCTGCAGGAAAATACCTGCTCCATCTGGCGTAGCCTGAGGCTGCAGGGAGATCTCTGCCCTGGCTCCTGAGCACCACCTCTCCTCCTCCTCCTCTCACCAGGGTACTGCAGGGCCGTTTCCCCCACTTTTTTCCTCACCCGTCACTGCCTAGGCAGCATTTTGCCTTTTCTTAAATCCATTTACACAGCGATGCCACCAGTGTGGCTGAGGGACTTGGCTGTGGCTGTGGTGGAGCTGTTGCAGAACTGACTGGGACTGGGTATGTCCAGCACAGGGCAGCCCCTGGTCTCCTCTCACAGAGGCTGTCCCGCTGCCAACACCTTGCCACTGAGACCAAATACATGGATAAATCAGGTTATATAAACAAATTTTATAGTAGTGTAATCTGCCTGTGTTATCCTAATTTTATACTTGGGCAAGACATAATCTTGCCTCCTCTTGCATACCACAAACCTGAGGTAAACCCTGGATGATGTACTCTGGGAAATCTGGCATCACTTGCATGACCCCATTTCTGTCAGTCCAGGTCATATTATTGGTGCTGAGTGATGTGATAGTGTTCAGCTTCAGAGTTAGTAGTAGCTGAAAGAGCAAGACCTTAGACGCTGTCTGGGTTTTGGCTGCCTTTGTTATTTTCTCTTGAAATGGGTGATAATATAGAACTTGGGCTTTTTTTTTTTTTTAAATTTCATAATCATTGATTGAAAAGGTTTAAAGACTATAATTCTGTAAGGCACAAATTTGGTTTTTATCACAAGAATTTCTCTTCTAAAGCACTGTTCCCCTCTATTCCAACCTGTATGCTGTGCCTAATAGCAATTTGTATTAGGTGTTTTAGGGGAAAAAAAAAAATTGAAAATGCCTGTGGGTGGCAATCACTCAGTACATCTGGATGAGGGAGTTTTTCTTCTTGGTTCAGGCAATTAATAGTAAGTTGATGACCATAAATATGCATAGATTTGTATCCCTAATTACTTTTAAAAAGTGTACGTGTGAACGTTGTGTAGAGGTATATCCAGGTCTGTTTCTGTACTCCTTTAAACATCATGCTGATCATGGCTTCATTAGTATCTTCTACTAAAATTGCATGTCTTTTTAAGTATTAATATTTTTTTGAAATATATTTGCCCTAATGTGGCTAATAAGCCTGGTCACTTCAGAACTGGTAGCTGCACTGGTAAGACAACATAGTTTTGGTCCCTGTTTTTCCAGGCTGCCTGTTTTGTTATATCATGTATATTGATTCTTACATTGAACAGTAGAAGTTGAAGCATACCTTTGCTTTGATGTTGGTGCTTCGTTTCCTGTATATTCCTGGCATGCCATCATCTTTTCTTTCTGGACTCCTGTGCTCTTCTGTGTTCTTGATACAAGCTGAAATCCTGCTTGTGCTGTCTCCAGAATGTTTTTGCTGAAATGGATGCATTGGTGATTGTATTGGGCAAGTCTTTTACCACTATGTTTGCTCAGGGTGATGTGGTAGCTGCGTGTCATCAGACAATAGGATCATGGGTGAAAGTAGTGATCTTCTATTATACTAGAAGTTAACATGGAATCTCTACAAGACAGTAGAGACAGCATTTCAACAGCAAATACTGTTGACAGTATAATAATAACTGTTATTTTCTTTTCTAGGTGTTAAAATGGGTTGAAGAAGCAGTTCAAGCCTCTAAAGTGCATCTCTTGTCTACAGACCATTTGACCATGGCTGCAAATACTTGGCAGATCCCTTTTGATCCAAGTCTGAAAGAGGTTACAGTGTCCTTGAGTGGTCCTTCACCAGCAATTGAAATTCATGATCCATTAGGTGAAGTAGTTTGCAACCTCTTTTGTGATAGCAAAAAAAGTGAATGAAAAAGACAAATTGTCTCTGTTGTCTCCAATAGGGAAGGCTGTATTTGTGATTCATGAATGTCTTTCACATTTTGAAAACTGGTATCAGGATTTCAGGATATCTTTAAATTTTATTTTTAAAATACAGGATCTTTGGATCTATGCACTTCTGATATTTAAATTGTTCCCAGTGTTCCTGTTTTGTGTGGGGTTTTTTTGGTTTTTTTTTTTTGACTTGGAGGAAACTGGAAATCCTTCCTGTTCTGACCACTTGATCTCACCTCCATCTACTTTCTTACTATTTGTCCTTGCATTCCAAATTTCTGGACACTTCCCCCTCTTCCCCCCATCCCCATCTATTTATGTAGTCACTAAACCATCATTTAGGGGTTATACATGATGGTAAACCAAGGTCTAGATTATTTGAACTATGAGAGCATTCAGAATCAAACCCTCTCTCATGTGCCCATCTCCAGCTGAACAGTGTGTGATGGGGGAATGCAATGACAGATTTGGATGCTAATTTGGAACTAAAGAGATTTCGAACAAATCTACTGTTTATAGTTATGTGGATGCCTTAGGAACCTGGACCAGCACTCCAGAAATAAATTCAGATTATACTTTGTATTCTCTGAATGACTTTTGGCTAAGGATATAGCTTAAGTTTTAGTATTTTATGTACAGGATGGGTTCCCCGCAATATAATCTGGTCTGTCCCCCACTGAGGCATTCTTCTTTGTTTACATGAAAGAAATGTGCTCAGAGTGTCTCTTCAAATCATGATAACACACAATCCTGGGTGCAACTGTCAGGCTTAGCTGAAGCTTTGGCCCGCTCTATATGTTTTCCTTTCTCATAGGTCAGCTCCGTGCATTTAAATGCACAAAGTTTCACTGGAGTTAGTTGAGACATGTCTGATAAGCTCTTAAAAACTGACACTGGGACATCCCATTCTCAATTTCACCTTTCCCTTTAGTGCTCTGAAAGAGCCAGATGTGTTTTCAGTGCTGATTGCCTGATAGCCTTGAGGGAGCAAAATGTCTCTCTAGAGAACCAGTTCCTGCATACAACCATTCATATATTTGTATGCTTAGGTGTACAAATAAAGTGAGGTATAGTACGGTATGAAAATTTGCACTCTTTTATTGATGTCTAACAGGCTAAATTCCCTGTGAGGATCTCACATGCATACCCACCCTTAGTCACATGCTAATGCCCCTCTGTCAGGAGAACCTGGCTTTATTAGTATTTTTACTTCTGGAGTTTATCCTGCTTGAAATAGGTCTAGAGGATGGAAGAGTGAGTGAGTGGGGTGGCCTGTTCTAGGATCCCTTTCAAGGGATTTGCTTCTGTGCTGCCTCCTTTCACTGAGAGCTGAGTATTTTCTGTAAAGAAGATCCTTGATAAAGGAGATCTTGTTTTGCTTACAGTTTCTGGGCTTCCCACAGCTCTGAATTGTTGCAGGCTCTATTAAATTGATGAAATGAATGAAAAGAGTGAAAATAAAAGAGCATTTTTAGTATTCTGGCAAAGAATTACAGTGAATTTTGACTGTTATGTTAGACTGCTAAGTAGCAGGTATGTCAAGTATCAAAAATACATCAGTACAGAAGAACAATATTGTATTTACTCTGTTTTTTTTTTAGGCAATACTGTATTTACTTCCTGGTGTGTGTGGTGTTTTGTTTTGGTTGTTTGGGTTTTTTTTAGGCAAGCAGATCAGGAAAGGATCAGGACTGAATGAACTGCTGAATATCCACAACTCTGCAAAGGTAGTAAATGTCAAAGATCCAGCACCCGGCACGTGGACAATTAAGGTAAAGTTACTGCAGAAATCATGTATGACTTGTCCTATAGCTTATAAGGGGATTCTATAATGTTTTACTATGTTATTTATCATAGATATTCAAGGAAGAGTTTGTGTTATAATAAATGTCCTTTCTGACTTACGTGTTGTGACATATTCTGGAGGCAGTAATAAAATTCTTATCAAGATGATAACATATTAGATGTTGCTATCTTAAGTCAAATCCTTAGGTCATCCTTTTCCTTTGGATGGAAAAAGGATGAAGTGAGCACAGAATTTTTGGAGTCTAGTGAGCAGATACTCTCTGTAGAGAGCATGGACACAGAGGGGCATTGCTGTGTGTAGCATGTTTGGAGAACTGGGGGAGGGAGATGATGTGCACTTTGCAGGCCAGAGATTTCATTAGCAGGTTTGCAAAGTCAGTAAATACACATTTAATTCAAACTCCTTATCAGTAAATTATTTAAATACTACAGTATGTAGGTAAATTTGTTCATGTGAGTACTATCCTGGTACATGGAGTTACAGAACGGACCCTAAAGGATTTGGAAATGTTAAGAAGTTAAGATCAAGATGATTAACGGTAATAACCAAACAAGAAAGGATCATTAAGACTCTGCTGAAATGGTCGTCTTGGAACTGGCTGTAGCAACTTAATGTGACCCCTTGATCAAGCTCCCTATGCCAAAGGTTGCTGCTCCCACAACAGTATGTAAGAAAGTTCCCTCCAGTGTTTGGCTGAAGGCTCCTTACACTGCACGCGATTGATGTGTGCTGAAACAGCTGAAGAGCAATCATACCTGCTGATTCTGAGCTGTAGCAAGCTGCCAGCTCCTAGGTAATGATACATTAATGTGCTTTCTTCTGAAATGAAAGAACAAGATGTCTTAGTGATGAAAGGGCCACTTAGAACTATGGTTCTGTGGGCTTTTCTCTGGGTGACAGTGCTAGTTTAAATGTGTGGTGTTGGGCACGTGTTCCTGTCAGTGCCGTATCATGGTTGTGAATCATGTGGTGAACAAGATGTGTAAATGCAATAACCTCCAAGAGCACTTACGACCTGTTGCTACACAAAGAGCTGTGACCTGTGAACTGAAGCCAGTGTAGCTGAAATCTTTATTGTTTATAGATCAATAAATATACTTAAAAAATAGGTGTAAATCAGGAACAGAAAGTGGATTGCTTAGACTAGCCTTAAGCCCTAATGTAGCAGAGATTCAAGTTAACACAGTAAGTATATCAGGCCAAAAATTGCTTACCTGCAACCATAATAGGGAAAAGGGATGAGCAAGAGCACTCTTACTGTAATGCACTAAACTGGAAGATGAAGCTTAGGACTTGGCTAGACTTAGGAAAACATATGTATTCATCATTTTGTTTTATAACATGTTCATTATGTCATTTTAATCATCTGTTCAAAATGTAATTGCACCAAATGTGAATGGAGTGTTAAAACTTTAAGGATTGGAGTGTGGTTAAGATAGTTTTTAAATAAACTTCGTTTTTACGGCTAGATGCTGATGTTTCAAAACACGTGAAATGTGTTAGCTAACAAACGACACCCCGCTGCCACAGCTTAAAATCTGCGCAAGCTATGTAACTATTTATGTAGAAATCATGCTATTTAACTATGTTTTGTGGACAGATTCTCTTCAAAGAAATAAAGTTGAATCTGTACCCTGAGCTGGTTTGTAGGGGGCAGCATGTTGTGACATGTGTGCTTAGAGAGGGGGAGAGGAAGGAAGGTGTAATGAACTGTAAGTTTTTACATCACCTTCTCAACTCTGTTGTGTAGCTGTGGCCTAAACTGACTCATGCTTTGGCTTACTGTTGTATACTTCTTTATGTAGGTAAAGCAGCATGATCCCAGCTTTCCTAAGTTGATGTGGAAACAATTGTACTGGTATAGGTCCCTTCCAACTGAACTATGCTATCCTAGAAGTGTAAATACTATGTTGTCATCTTTGGAGGGGAGGTCACCCATGTAAGATGCCTTTACAGCCAAGTTCACAATGAGGTGTGCTGAATGGATACATGGTGTGTATCGTCTGTGCCATATGCGCAGAGGTAGTTTGAAAAGGATTATAAATTCACATACACCACTGTAGGAAACTATTGATACTGCTGCAGAAGTGGAACTTGAAAAGCATGTTGAGCTCAGTAGCTCTATGGAGAATTGTTTGAATGTCTGTCTATGCTTCCAAGACCAGAAATATTGAAAAACCTGGTACAGAGACACCCTGGTGGCCTGCAAAAAACTGGTTTGGGTCCCAGTGGACTTAGTTACATCAGATGTATTGGGTACCGAGGGAACTTTTTCTGCAGTCAGTGCCTTAGTATTCAATTCTATGGCTTGTGGGAATGTTTTAGGTTATGTGTGCAATCTAGTAAACATTCAATGCCCTGTGACATGGAGAAACGGATTGCAGAAAAAGCAAAAGCCCTGTATGATCTTTCCTTGGACCTGCATGGCTGTTGCTAAGCTGAGGCCTTTTTGGATGTGAGCTGAGCCGTGTGGAACTACTTGTGTATGCCTGCGCTGCCTTGCCCAAATTTCTAGATTCCAGGAATTGCTGCGAGAGGAGCTTGCCACTCTTAGAGGCTCAATGTGTAACACCCTTCAGAGCTAATAAGCTCTCCTAAAGCCGAGGCTGGCACTCAGCATGGTGCAAGCTGCCAAGTGGCTCAGCTGGAAGCAGGCCAGCATGCTCAGCTAGATGCAAACCAGTCCTGGCCAAAGGATCAGGCTGCTCCTCCAGTGAGGGTTTTAAAGTTTTTTGGTTTTGTTTTTCTAAGCTCAGCATAATGCTGTCACTGATTCTGTGGGGAAGAAAACATTCAAATTTATGTATTTTGGGTTAAAAAAAAAATTATTCTGAATGTAGACAAAATATTCTAATTACTTTAACTTTTATGAGCAAATGAGGTCTTTCTTAATTAGCCTTGTGCAAACAGCTTATATAGGTACTTGTCACCCAGCAGTGCAAAAAGTTGTCATTTTAGTATGATAACAAATCACAGTGAGCTAAAGAGTATTAGACACTACTAAATCAACTGGAGAATGATCAGTCCAAGAAGATCATATCTTAACCCACAAACGTGTTAGTGCAGTTTCAGTGCTCAGTGAAGCCTTTAAATCGCAGGTTTGAGTTAATATAAAACACACAGTATGCAATCCTCTTGCCTCTCCTGCTGCAGGAGGTCTCCAGCTGCCTTCCAGTACTTCAGTATGAGGACATCAAGTCTTTTGCATTCATGTGTATTTTATAGAAGTTTTTCTTCCAGGTGTGCTGTAGCAGTCTTGGTTTACAAGGTGAGAGGAGTCTTTTCAAAGAGCAATGACATGAGATGAGCACCTGGCTCCTCTCTCCATAGTATACCAGCCAACAGTACAGACCTTGTGCAGAAGGAAGCATGCTTCTTTAGAAAGGTAGTCCTGCTGTTGCATGTGTTTTCTGCACCTCTGAGCTAGCTGTGAGACTAAATTTAATCTGCTGGTCCTACTGCTGAGATACCCACCAAGGGATGGGCCTCACCAGGAACAGCCTGACTTGTTTAATGCAAGAGGGAGCATCAGTTTGCTTTTGTGAAATCCCTCCCACAAAGATCTGTCCTGTGGATTCTTCGAAGAAAAGGCTTCTTTGGAGCAGTTTAGGAGGCATCCAATGTCTTGCAAATACCAGTTACCTGCAAGCTCCAGAACAGCAGCAGCAGAAGGCAGTTGTATTTAATTACTTCTTAAAGGCCTTGCCTGCTGTGTGTTTTCAGTTGAAAAGGCAAGCGAGTGATGGAGGTGAGTTGCTGGGGGAGAGGCAGGAGTGAGAAGCCATCAGCTGCCGTTTTGTTCTGTGGCTAATCAATAGGCCACTGCTTTTCCAGCTGAGCAATGCTGCAAGAACTTCCCTGCTGCATAGGGTTAAATTATCATCTGTGTGACTGGGAAAAGGAGAGGAAAAGCAATGAGAAATCAGCAGCAAAACTTGGCTGTTCTTGTGATCAAGACAGGTCTTTAATGACTGCTGCTGTTGTTATTCCCTTGCACCCCTAATAGCCAAATGCAGATGTTCAATGGAGTGTAATGACAAACCAGCCCAGAGTAATTTCTATTGAAAGTGCACATTCCTTAAAGCTAATTCAGCTGCATATCTCCACTGTAAATACAAATATAACTATGCAATTAAAATTTTATTTAGCCACTGTAGCTTGGTTTCTCTGTTGTGTGAAAACTGTGTTTTACAAAAGCCCGTGCACTTCTTCATACTTTCATTTATATATTCATGCATTTGGGGCCAGTTTATTTTGTGTTATTTGCAAGATAGGAAACCATTTTTCCAGACATCTGTGACAAATACGTGTTTGCTCTTTTTATCCTAATTGTCCAGTCTTGGAGGAAAAACACTAATGTACAATACCAGTGATCCATGTTAAACTACAAATAATGAAAAGAGACTTGACAAAGATAAGTCCTTTGAGATGATAATTCATTCTTAGATGTTTGCATAAGACTGCCAGCTCCTAGGCAAGACAATGATGCATTTATTGTTACTAGTAAATGGAAAAAAATTATAAGTTAATCTAGCTTTAAAAGTTCACAAGTATCCGAAGGTCTGAATAATTCATAAACAGAAATAATTTCTCAATGCATTTTTCTCTGAATTGTTTACTCTGCTTTACTCACTAGCTTGTTTTGTTTGCACTAAGATTTTTAAGGCTGTGACTAAAGACTTAAAAAGAACTTTGTGAAAAGTTCAATCACGCCATAAATTCCTTATACAGATGCGTAAAACTGTAAAAAAAAAATTGTCACTGCATTTGTCTAATGAAATTTTAACTGCCAATTAACACTTGATAACATGAGTTGTTTGGCACACTTAAATATTTGTGTTGTTAACAGCTGGTTTATATAAAAAAGGCTTTAGTAGTGATTTTTCTGAGGTGAAAGGCTAACCAAATAGAAGCAAATAAAGGTTGTTTTAATCAGATAGACATCAATTTGTCATAGTGTCTAAATGGCTGTCCCATGGCAGTTAGCTGTAAGAAACAACTGTTTGATATTCACATGCAGCTGTACCAAAGTGGTTACTAAACTGAAGGAATTATGTGTTTGAGAATTGATCAGGTAGATAAAGCTCAGTGGAATTATTTCATTTTAATACTCATTTTCTTTCACATTGCAAGTCTTGTGTGCTGTATAGTCTCTCTGAACAAAATCTCGGAGTAGGTTCTACTAACTGTGGATTTGATCTTGGCATAATGTATCTCCAATATCATTCTTCATAGCCTTTTGAAGATTTTTTTTTTTTTTTCCTGCTGTTCTGGTTGAATTGTCCATGGGTTTGTCAGTGTTAAGTCTGTAAAAATTGAACTCTGTGCTCAGTGCAGTGCAGCAGTGATTTTCCCCCCCCACCCCACCCCTCCCACATGTGAAGGGGGAGGACAAAAAGCCTTGGATTCCTGTGCACTCTTGGCAAGTAGCAGTTGTCCTTTTCTTTCTCAGCACAGCATGATAGTAAGCAACTTTTAAGAAGGTAACTCAAAATAATTGTGGGAATAAGGACTTGTATAAAAGCTACTGTACCCTCAGACAACATAAAGCTAAGGCTTTTCAAGAATGGGTGGGCAGGTGGGGTTCATCTGTAATGCGTTTTTTGCTGGTTGAACCAGAATGGCAAGGTGGGGGAGTGGTGGTGGTGGAGAATAGAGGCGAGAGGTGCTTCTGTGTCTTCTGCTTTCCAATGGAAACCTTGGCTGGGAAAGAGAAGAACCTTTAATATACAGGATTGATTGAGGTTGGTCTGTATTTGCCACTTGTTTCATGATATGCAGTGCCTATGGTGTTTGCATATGCCTCACAGGTAAAATTAGTTTTGTGCATATTTAAAAGGGAACTTATTAATAAATAAAAAGGTAAGATAAATTACTGTAGCGCTGGAGGTTGTTTATATATTATCAGCAGAAATTTTACACTCATTTTTCTGTTGACTTGTGTTTCAATCACTGTTTTGTAATATACTTTATAATGGTCAAAATCCCAACTTCCAGACAGTCTCCCATTACAGTCACTGGCATGTGACAGGTAGCTGTTAAACTTGTGTTTGTGTTGTGATTTACGTCTGAGATAAATTGGCTCTTTTTGCTGACGCTACGATTGTAGGGTGCACTTGCTAAATGTAAAGCTTTATTTAGAGGCATTTTTACTTACAACTTTTGAAGTAAGTCTCACTTCTGTCTTCTTTTCAATGAAAGATGAAGTCTATCTACTGAACTCAGTGGTTGGATCAGAAACTTTGTAACTCCTGAAATGCTAATTATCCATCTGGGGTTTCACTCTGCTTTTTCAGACCTCGAGCAGTGGAAGGCACTCTGTTCGGATCACAGGTCTCAGCACTATTGACTTTCGTGCTGGGTTTTCTAGGAGGCCAACATTAGACTTTAAAAAAACATCCAGCAGACCGGTGCAAGGTTTGTTTCCATTTTATTCCAACAATAACCATTTTCAGGCCCCCAAAATCAAGTAGAACTCTATGATGATCTCTCTGGTGAACTTTGTGATAAAACTGGGCCTGCTGTTGGTTGGTTCTTGGGCCTTGAATGTGTGAGAGCAGCCAACATTCCTGTTTTTTCATACTATAGTTTTTTTTTGTATTAGCTTTGGTTTTTTATGTCACATAAGTCCAGATATTTTTAGGTATGAAATGCCTCAAAACTGCAACTCTGTTTCTGTTAATTTTGGAGCTTCAGAAAAAGCTCTTGGCTCTAGAGTATGGTGAGGAGTTAATAAAGAGGCTGCTATTTCAGAAACACCTGTTGGAAATCAGTAATTTAAACCCTAATCAGTGGTGTGTCTCCTGACAGCTAATAAGCAGAGCACAGCTTAACACATCTTATTTTTTTTGCTACTTGGTGAGTAGGGGTTGAGACTGAATAGTGCATTCATGGGGTGGTGGGCCATACATATGGAATTAAACCTTTTTTAATTATTTGGGGGGGTTTAGCACTTAAAATAGCATGTTTCTGTTTTTTCTAGGGATTCCTACCTTCGTGCTGCTAAATACCACAGGGATCTGTCTTCCAGCTAGAGTAGACAGACTGGAACTTCTGAGTATTACAGGGGAACTTCTTAAGACCTTGCCTGTGAAATACTACCCTGACAGAAAGCCCTATGGCCTATGGAATATTTCAGACTTCATTCCACCAGATGAAGCTTTTTTTGTTAAAATAATGGGCTACGACAAGGATGATTATCTTTTTCAGAGAGTTTCAAGTGTTTCATTTTCTAGCATTACCCCTGGTAAGAGATTTTTAAGTTGAATTGAATGTACATTTGTCACACCTGAATCAGTTAAAATATCTAATATGTTTTTATAACTTACACAAATACTTTCTGTGCTGTTTCCTTCCAAAGTTCTATGTCTAGGCTGTGATGGACAAGTTAATGTTATTATCTACGAAGTATAACTTTGTCAGAAATTGTATTTCCTTTTATTAAAAAGAAAAGCTAGGATATATGTCAGTAGCTATTAATCATCTTTTGGGGAATATTTGCTTTCTTCAGATGCTCCAAAAGTTACAATGCCCAGCAAGACTCCAGGATATTACTTACAGCCAGGGTCTGTTCCTTGCCATGTAGAAAGTCTTATACCTTTTACTCAGCGTTTTACTAAAAATGGTGTAAAACTAGGAGTGGATCAGTTCTTCAAGTAAGTAGTGACCTTTTTTCCCCAATACTATTTTATTTCCTATTTTCATCCTATTATTTCTATTTATTATTTACTATTATATACTACTTATATCCTATTACTTCTATTCTGTTATTTTTGGTGATATTCATTAGGGAGGCTGTAATTTATAGAGAGATTTATTTTATATATATATATATGCATATATATATATATGCATGTTTGAGGAGGGGGTACAATCTGTATAGATGATGAAATTATATAGCTCTGGCCAAAATCCCCCTCAAATGTGTGTTCTTAAATTATGATATACTTGGTCTAAAAATCTAGAAGGCAAATGCTTTTAGCTTATATTTTTAAAAGTTATATAAAATAGATCAGTAACTAGTTTTTTTCTGGAACACATCCCTTCCCCTCCTCCCCCCAATGATACATAGGTGATTATGTAACATACGTGAATTTGCGTTATTTTTAATGGCCTTTCATGGATGCTTTAAAAGTATGTCCTATGATCTACCCTAGAAAATTTTCATCTTCGAAAAAATCTCTCAAAATAGGAAAACTTACACCGAATATACCAGAAGGCTCTTCAGATTTCTGAATAGAAAATGGATTGCATGCTCTTTCTCTGTAGAATGAGATGATAAAAAATGAATTAAAATACTCCTAAAGTCCAATTTGTAATTCTGGTAGTTGAAAACAAAGGGGAAGTATGTACTAGAAAACAGTGTTGGCAGCTTCTGTTAGCCTCTTGTAAAGCCTGAAGCACTTCAAGAGTAGACTGACTGAAGGCTAAGTTCTAGCATTCAATAGCAAGTACATGACTACCAAAATAAATAAATTCTGAAGCTCCCTTGTACGCTGTTGGCAGTGTGAAATGCTGCAGCTCTTCCCCCTGCTTTTGAGGTGCCATTTATATTAAGTCAGCCCTAGCACACACTTCAGAAGCTGTGTAATTTTTTCCATTCTTTAGTTATCAAACCACACTCTTCTACTCCTTGCTTTTCATGTATCCAGCACCTTTATGATTGGGCTACATTTTTCATTTTTGTATTACAGACTGGTTGAATGACCCCATCATCCAAGTTAATTTAACAAAATATATTTCAAGCCAAATATTATTGATCATAGTTAAATAAGAACTAATTTGGCTTGGCTTGTTTGCATTTTATTAGTGGCGAAGCTCCATACAGGATCTGTCCAGCTTACTTGTTTAATGCAGATTTGAGCTGTATTATTACTCTGCATTGAATGAGTTTGAGTTTTGTTTTGCTGACAAGATGTCTTCTTTACTCTTTTTTTTAATACTTCTTTCAAAAAGTAAATGGTTTGTAAGTTAAATATTTTAGTTCTAGCATGACAGTTCTCTATGTGAAAGTACTATTAGATTGAATATAGGTTAAGGGTTCTTGAAGTGAACATACTTGGAAATTTTTTTTGCTTTGATTCCAGAGGTAGTGTCAGGTGTAATAGTAATTCCAAATTTTAAATTAATAACGTGTAAGAAAAAAACTTCTCTACAACAGCAACAGCTTTGTTTTTCTAGATTTCTGCATCCTGTGGCGGTCTAGTAAGAAAACTTGGATTTTGATTAATATCCTAGTGCATTTCTGACAAGTCTGATCTAGGAGACCAAGAACAGTAGTTAAGCACCTCATTCCAGTGGGAAATCAGTGGGAACTGAGCACTAATGTGTCTTTAAAATCTGTTCTGTATTGTAAATGGCAGATCCAACCAACCCTGCAAAGAGCAGAACCAGCAAAAATTGTGTGTGAGATTCTGACAAGAAATTTAGTTAGCTAAAATAATAGTAATAATAAAATCCCTAAATCAACTGATACTTGTGGTTGTTAGGCAAGTCTAGTGTCTGATTTGCTAAACCATACAGAATATATTCCTCCAAACTATGTGATTAACTAGTGTAGTATGAGTGAATCTTAGGTTTTAGTTCATTTGTGTGGTGAGCCACAGCCCGCTGCTAGTGAGAGTTTTCCCGAGTGAAAATGTGGTGTGGAGTGTGGTGGTTTGTGGCAACTAAGAGGTGAGGTTAGATACCACGTGAATATCCCTGTGCTCTCTGCCAGCGTTTCTACACTAACTAATAACCAGGACGTGATTTGGTCTTCGGATTTTACAACTTGGCTGAGGGGCTATGTTTGTATTTTCCAAACTGGTTAGATAAGCAGCTTGATCAGCAAATTGTGTATACTGTAAAATGATTTTGGTAAATAAATTACTTGATGCTGATGGCTGCTGTGTTATGCCAATAACACATGTTGCAAAGAGCTGTGCGCAGTTACTGCTTTGTGGAGTCAGTGCCAAAGCATGCAGCAGATGCCTTGAGGTGTGTATTATTCATTGCTGCCATTGCTGTATTTAATTTTTTTTTTTTTTTTTTACTAGACCGCCGCAGGTCTCTGTTTGCCAAACTTTTGCACTCTGGACACATTTCCTTCTGTGCTTCCGTTCTCAAGGCTTCCATGTTCGACATCTGGTGTATAGCAAAAGTCAGGAATGAAGAAGAATAGGATTGCATAACTTCACTTTTAACATAATTCCCATGAAAGAGAGAAGTTTCTCACTTTTTACTTGGAATAAATGCTACCTTATTCTTTAGTGTTGGCAGCTGATGCCACTTCCATTTGCCAGCGTTGCACTCTAAAATGTCATAGATTTTATAGATGGTATGTTATCTAGAATAAGTATGAAGTCAGAGAGAATAAGTGGGAGGCCATTTAAGGTCACTGTATACTGTTTTCATTTGTTGTGTAATTGGATTCTCTGTCTCATGGTGCTACAGCATTGAACTTTCATGCATATTCCAAGCCTCTTTCTCTTGTTCTTTCTATATCCTTTAGGAGTTGATAAATCAATCTATTCAGACAAACAAAAGAGAGACAAAGGGTTCACTAATTTAGTGTTTTCCCATAATGTGGCACTTACTTGCCAAAGCTATTGCGGATATTTTAGCGCTCATCAGCTTTGTTTATATGCCATAGCAACAGGCCACAGAGAGCACTGGGACACTGCAGAAGAACGACTGTTTTGCTCATTTATGTCATCATCTGTGTGTCTGTTGTGCTGTTAGTTGTATAAAATGTGGTTTTGAGTCTTGAGAAGCTTTAGGAGTGTTTGTCTTTAAGCACATGTAACCACCAGTCAGTGTAGTTGATTTTTATTCTCTGCTTGACTTTAACATTGCATGTGATAATTAGCTTTGCCCTTGCTGTGATTTATTGAAAAACTCTGAAGTATTTCTATGGATTCCTGTTTTATTATCTTGCTCGCATCTCCTCTGCACCCCACCCTCAATTTTCAGTCTTGAATCCATCAATTCTGTCTTTGTATGTGTTGCAGTGTTTATTTTTGTATGTCTGGGCAATCGATGTACAGAATATTGGATTATTGTAGTTATTGCTGGTCAGAAGTTCAGAGATGCAGCCAGTAGAGTAGAAGTCTGAGTCCTCTTCATACCGATACTTCACATTTCGCTGGATTGTAAACGTTTGGGATGGAGGTAGTCCTTGCATTTTAAAAAGTACAAAGAGAGCTGCCTGGATATAGTCATCTTGTAGAAGGCAGATGCTGCCCGCTCCACTGCATGAGCCTAATAGTGGATTTGCATATAGAGGGGTGGAAAGAGTAAAGGATGGGGTCTCTTTTATGTGTAGCCCTTATTTGTACCTGGTATTTGAGAAGCTATGCTGAGAGGATGAATCCTTGTTCCCCTTGCTAGTAAGGGCCCCAGGTTTGGTACCACATACTGGTTTTACATAGAACCTTGTTAGTATTAAGGAAAGGTATCTTCTCAAGTAGTAAATGTAACAATAGAGTAGGAGCAGTTGAGGGAACGACTGCAAATACAGTCGGTTTAGTTATTAGGTAACTGTTGACATATGTTACCCAAAGGCGTATTTGTAGATGTGCAAGCGAGATAGTCTGCAAAACCTTATATTTCTTAATACTCATAAAAAAACCTGACAATGTGTATATCATTTCTTTAAATAAAATCCATAAAGCTAGATCCACTGTGATTCATCAGAGGGTCTGTTTTTCCTCTTAATTATTGTGAAAATCTCCTGTGTCTGTAGACAGGAAATCAAATTCTCATACCTCTTGATTCCTTCAGGAATTTAGTGAGTATGCCCTTTTCTTCCTCCAGAGAATCATCTAGCATGAGTTGGGAAATTGCTACGGTCTCCTTGTCTGATGAAGGCGTCTATGAATGTATGGCAACTAGCAGTGCAGGAACTGGACGTGCACAGACGTTTCTGGATGTATCAGGTGGGTAGTAGTCCATCCTTCGATGCTGAAGCATGGTAATACATTGTGCTGGAACATTTAACAGGCAGCAATGGCACTTGAGACCAATAAAAATATATTTAGAACTGAAAATGTATTTTAATTAATGTGTTTTTCTCACCCATGTACACCCATGTAGCTGTTTTAAATATTAACATTGGATTTGTTTTAATTAGTTCCCACTGTCAGTTGGACTTGAAGAACAGATTTGGCCTGTAGAAGCAAAGATTGAAATCTCAGAGTTCAAGTGTTCTCACTCTTATTTCAAGCTGTAGCAATTCTATGTTTACTTAATTGTGTGTGAAAAAAGTGAATAGTGTCATCCTTGTCAAGCTTTGGACATAAAAATTTGGAGTGGGAGAAAGGGAGAGAGCTGGTCTTCTGTGAAGGCAAATGTAAAGCTATGCTGCAGGAAAAATTAGGAAAAGCAGCTTATCTATGCGTGTGGATAGGTGGGTGAAAACCCTTTCCATACTACAGCAAATTTTGTCACTTAATTTTTCCACAGTTGCAATGCAGTCTGAGGGAAGGGGAAAGATAATTTCTATTTTGAAACAAAAATCCCTTCTATATAGCCTTCTGTTTCTGTTGACCAGGCATCTGTCATACAGAAGCGTAAGCTATTGCTCTTGACTAGGGAAAACACTGGAGCTCAGTCAGTTAATTTAGTGTGGCCGTGAGGATAGTAGAGCTCAGAACAGCAGTTTGAATTCAGCCTCAGGGTTTCATATAACTGCTTGAAGTTTAAGTTATCTTGTCTTTTATCTCCTGTCGTAGCTAATTCAGGCTAGTTAACCTGGAATGTGGATCACAGAATCACAAAACAATTAAGGCTGGAGTGACCTTTGGAAGGTACCTAGTCCAACTTACAGCTTCAAGAAGAATTAACTTCCAGGCTTGATCGCGTTTCCCAGGAACTTGTCCAATGAAACTTTGAATGTCCCCAAGGGTAAAGATTTCACAAGTTCCGTGGGCAGCCTTCAGTGCTTAACTACCCCCACTAGGAAAATACTTTGCATGTCTAGTCAGAATTTCCCCTGCTGCATATTATAACCACAGACTCTTACCTTTTTTTTTTTCTCCCCTTTGTGTGTGTGCCCTGAGAAGACTTTGACTCTGTATTCTCTAAAACAACCCACTCAGTAGTTGAAGAGGGTGACTATATATCCCTTCACCTTCTCTTTTCCAGGCAAAGATGCTCTTCTCACTGCAGTATGAGCAAAGTTTGTAGAGAAACAGCCCTCTTAAACCAAGTGGTAAATTTGAGGAGAAGGACATCCATTTAGTCACACAAAGTACTCAAGTAGAATAGAACAGTAACATCAATACTTACCCAAGTCCTAGCTCTAGAGCACTATTTTATATTTTGGCTACAAAAATCCTTCAGGCGGATAGCGTATTCCCATATGCTTGTTTCAAACCATGTTTTGGAGGACAAGAAGCTGTTATATTCTGCCCCAGAAATTGTGGGCATAAAGATTCTTGGGCTGGAAGTTGCAACAGTCTTCCTCCTCACAGAGAAAACTGAAAAAGAATCCTAACTTTTTTCTTGTGATATTAGTAGCACTTGAAAGTCAAGAGTGACAAGGGGAAAAAAATCCCATATCCTCTCATTTACAGAGCACTGAGAGGTTGACTGAGACTGACTCACTATGTAGACAGGAGCAATTAGTTTTGTTTTGAGCCATGCAGAGGATTAATGTGAGGGAGATGCTTTGAAATCCTTGCATACGCATATTTAAAAGAAAATTACTTGAAATTTCTCCTTTAAGCAAAGTAAACAATCTTTTCAAGTATTCTTGGTTTGCTCAGCTGACAGACAGCATATCACACGTAATCCATTTTGTCAACTGCTGTGTGAAAGGTATTGGAACTGTGTCAACATTTTCTAGTTTCAGAAAAAGCCAACACTTGAGTTTGACTTTGTCTTACTAGTACTAAATCTTTAAAATGCCAAATAGCTTGTTAGCTTGTGCAGGCACCTTAACTGAAGTGCTCTGAATACACAGGATTCGACTTAGAATTTGGCTGCGGGATTGCTATGTCTGTGCACTATTGTGGTAAGAGGCTGGTGTGGTCCAAAAGATGTCATGCCCCACCAGACTGACATTCAAAAGATAAGGATTTTAGTCCTGTACTGGCTTTCATCTCTCTCTTTTCTAAGTTTCTTTAAGTAACATACTTGGTGATATGCCCATGGAAAGCTTTAGAAGATTTGTTGTTTCTCCCAAACATCCAAAACCTAAAGCGCAGGGGAGAACCTCCACGCTCAGTAAGCAAGTCTAGCTGTTCCTTGCTCTTCTCTGCATGTGTTAAAATGCACAGTTTTGGTGATAAGGGCCAGTGTCTCCATGGGGAAGGAGAGCTGTGTGAGTGACTCATTGCTATGCAGAGATCTTGCATAAAGCTTGTGAACCTCATCTGAGACCCCATGTGAGACTTAAATAAGGAGGAGTTATGGTTGGCTCTGAGCTTAGGAGTAACTTTCACCTTTAGTAAGTATAGACTTTTTTTATTCCGTTATCCTTGCTTTTCTTAGGTGATTGGTTTTTGGTGTATACTGATAAAGATTTGGTCTTGCTGTTATAGCTGTCTTATTTCTGCTAAAGCATCCCACTCAGAATATTATTCATTGCAGATCTTTATTTTTTTCAAGAACCAGCCTGAGGGAAAACAAATGGAATATATATAATGTTTTTAATGGGAATGCATAAAGTGATACATAGTGCATTTTCTTCCTCCAGCGTTTAAATGTTGCCTCCTTTATCAGTGATATCTCAAGAAGGATCAGGATGACTGCTCCTACTTTAAGCATCTGTGGTTTCAAAGTTTAATTCCAGTATAAAATTATTGTAGCTGCTTTCTTCCAGAGGTTTGATAGAAGTGTACAGATGAGTAGAATGGGAAGCAAATAATAACAAGTAGTGGAAGTTACAACATAAAATATGTACAGATAGAAAGGAGAAGATAATGAAATGTTGCCTAAGATTTGAGTAGAAACTCTTAAGGGATGTTCTAAGTGGCTGCAGCTCCAGCCTAGGAGTTCTTGCCTGGCTTCTGGAGCTTGGCCCCATGTGCCCAGGACCTGTCCCAGACCCATGCACACTGCTGCTGCTTTCCTGTTTGCACATTCATCAGTAGTGAAGCTCAGCGCATATCATAGGTGCACACAGAGGACACCGGCACAGATGGCTCCACAGGCTGCCACAGACAAGGTGCTGCCTTCAACAGCAGCTACATACAGGACTTGAATAAAGCATGGGACGGCCAACTCCCCTCCTCCCTACCTGGCAAGGGTTGAAGCTCACTAGTGAGAGAACACCCCCTTTGCTCTCTAGAGTCGCACACACATTTGCACATCCCTTGAGTACTGGCATAGCCCCTCTGTCCCCTTGATACCCCTGCCCAGATCCTGGACCCTCTTACCTGCTTCTTGCCAGCTGTTGCAGTTTAAGTTCGCTAACAAACTGCATGCGCACCCCTCTATGCACGCCTGTTTGGAGAAGGTACAGAATTGCCTGAGATCCTTCCTACTCTGGTAGCTGGTACTCAGACGCCAGTCCCTCCAGTAGCTGATGCCAAGAGCCTGAGGTGCCTACACCCCTGGTCTGACTCTAGTAGCTGACACCCAGTCTACTCACACTGGTCCTCCCAGTAGCTGGCACTTAGTCCTTGCAGGACACACACTAGGGATAGGGAGTGAGAGCACACAGAATTAAAAAAAGACTTAATAAGAAGACAGGAGACTGGTGATCAGGTGCAGGGCTCAGTCAGACAGGAGTACTAGCTAGTGATGTTTTACATGCAACAGGCCTCTTCTATGCCCCTTTCTGCCTATTCCCTTCTCTGCTACTCCCTGATTTGCTTCCCTGCATATTCCTTTATCAGTTTGCATAGCTTGACAGATTTTTGCCTTCCGCTCCCTGTCCTATCTGGGACTCCCAGGTTTGTGTCCTTATCAGTTGCAAAGTCCAGGTTGGCTGCTCTTTGAAATGGTGCTCGTAGCTTCTTGATAGCCCTTCGATTGGCATGATGAAGTTTGTTTCTTGTCGTTGTCTCTGATATTGTTTGTCAGGTTTGTGTCTCTGTATACTGTGTTTATTACCCTCCCCTCTCCCCCCTCTTTTCTTTATCCTATTTGGCAAGGTCCTTGATCAGGTAAACTTAAGGAAACAGATGCTCTCTCCTTCCACGTTCCCTTATAGAAACCGTCGTGGAAAGAAGTTAATAATGTGAAGAGCAGCTGTTGACTTGGTTTCACTGTTGCTGTTAGATGAGCTTGCTAGTAATGTGCTGGGTTTTTTTCCACGTACAAGCCTGTGAAAATCTAGTGTGTAGCTCAGATTCCACCATGTGTGGTGACACCTGAGTCAGAGATCAGACTCTCAGACCCAGTGGTGGTCCTGTCTCTTCCTTCTGTTGCTGTGGCTCTCTGATCTCTTGTTGGCTTTCCCCAGTGCAAGATGACATCAAAGGACACAGTGCTCTACATATGCTCTCGTACGTGATGTGATCTCTCATCCTATGTGGCACAGTAGTTTTGGCCTAAATTAGGTGTGTTCTTGTGATGTAAGCTCCTGTCAGGTAGCTTAGCATCAGGGAATGAGGATGCTGCCCTGGGTTCTGTTAAACCAATATTACTTTTTTTTACTATAGTTTACTTGAAGTTGTTTGTCAAGAATCCACAAATGAAGCAAAGGTTCCCAAATATTTTTCTCTTATTTTGTTCTTTATTCTGCTCTTTTTACACAGAGCCTCCGCCCATGATTCAGGTTCCTAATAATGTCACAGTTGTCCCTGGTGAAGGAGCCATCTTGACCTGCCTAACTTTAAGCACAGTGCGTTACAATCTCACCTGGCAGAGAAATGGCAGGGACGTGAGGCTTAAGGAGCCCCTGCGAATAAGGATGATGAGCAACCTGTCTTTAGAGGTAAAGACTGTAAAGCTCACGGATGCTGGCAAGTACAACTGCATCGCTTCTAATGAGGGTGGATCTACCACAGCATCGGTCTTCCTTATGGTGCAAGGTAATAAGGAAACTTGGAGTTAAACTTACGCTGTCACAGTTCGTATTTTCTTTATCTTGTGAGCTGTCTCTCTTAGTAACTTCTGTATTTTATTTATGCCTGTTGATAAGACTGCGTGGAGACCAACAGAACATTATGTAGTTCTTCCTCATTTTAAAATGGCAATGGGAGTCACCAAACAGCACTAGTGCACATTTTGCGAGGTTGCCTTGTGCTGAGTGTCTCTCTGAGCTGTGGTTTGATCCTCCTCCTATAACTGCCAGTTTGACTGCTCTACAAGTGAATGGAGCCTGAGGTAGTTTTGTTGTTAGTGTCTGCTAAAGAGTAGAGCACAGAAATAGCTGCACACATGCACATACCGCTCCCCAGTACTTGTAGCCAAGTTTTACTTTGAGAAAATTTACAGGCTGGCTATATGGATTATTTTTATTTTTTTCCAGTGAAACTATAACTATAGTTACATACGTGTAACTAAACTGATAAAAGTTTGTGTTCATCTGGATTATTTTATATCTCTTTATAACAGAATAGTGCTTCTGAGTTTTTCTGTGTATTATCTTACTGTTTCTGTTTTATAGTTCCAGTCAATACAAGCTAAGAACTAATCACAGTGTTATGAAGGGCTAGATTTTATGAAGACAAGAACTTAAAAAATATGTCAGAACTGAAAACGGACAGCATGGGTGAGACCAAACATGGTCTAGGTCTGTGCTATTGCTTCATACCAGGAAAATTTTTTTCAAAAGAATATGTATAAATGCAGTAATTTGTCTGGGAGCAAATCCTTTTAAAATTTGAAAGTAGTGCAGGTTTCTCTGTGTTTCCCTTCATCATGTGGAGGTTTGAACCTTTTTGTTCCTAGCTGCCTGTCTGTGACTAAGAAGAGACAGAACTCAAAATGTTTTAGAAGGAAAACCATTCTGTCTACTTGTAGATGACTCCAACAGGATTTCTGCTTCCTGGTGATACTGGGTCATATTCTGTGCAGAGTGGGTAGCTCACTAACTTTACTGCTGTAATTCTAGTACTTTAACTAATGGAAGACTTGAATTATGGAAAAAAAATAAAATTCAATGGAATTGCCTGGCTTAAGGTGTTGCAAAACAGAGGAAGGTCAGAAATGGAGTTGTAACACTTTCTAATGGCATATAATTTTTCTCAAAGGAAGACAATATTGGTTTACCAAGGTGGAACAAGTAGGTGTGCAATCGATTATGTAGGACCTATTAAAAAATACAGCAGAATGAAATGCTTCTTCATTGATCTGTTTGAATTACTCTTAGATGGCTACAGCAGAATTATAAATGTTAAATTTCTAGCAAGGCTGAAGGGAAAAAAAGCCATGAAAAAACATCAACCCCTGTACATTTGGAAACCTTAGTTTTAAATTCTACAGGATTTTTCCATCAAGACACTCATTCAAGCATGTCAAAGGCAGCAAGAGAAGTATCCCCCTTCCTCGTTCTTCTCTGCTGGGATTTAGATTTTGCTCCTCAAGGTCTGTAGACCAGCTGGGAGCTTTAACACAATGACCAAATTTCTTCTGATAGTGTTTTTTTTTTTTTTTTTAATATAGTAAAGCTGAAGATGTTCCTCCTGCCACAACAGAATATTGATTTTCAAATCACTTATATATTTAGAATGGTTATGTCAAATAGTTGGACATTATGTTTTGGCTGGTGTGCTGACAGCTTTAAAACATGTCTGAGATAACCCTCTTGGACAGTTTAGACAGGCTTAATTGAGAGTCTGAGATGTGTTTTCTTTCAGTTCTGATAAAGATGCTTAGAACAGAATAAATATGTAGGAAATGCTAAGCTGCAACTGAATTGAGATTTCTTCAGTAATGCCTGCCTCTTTTTGTTTGGAAAAAGCAATCCACTGCCGACATTTTCAAATGGCTATATGCAGAAGCTGAATGGTATCAGGATGGTAGTTATTATTTATTAAATTATTATTAGTAGGTAGGTAGTTATATATTAAGTTATTTCTGTCAGGTTTTGGAGGTAGTCTGGTGTGTGATTATGCCATGTACAACCTGTAGTGCTTGTTAGGGTCTAGAATAGTATTCAAAAAGCACTTTATATTTGACAGCAAAAGAGTAAAGTATTTGGCTTATGTAAGAAGCAAAAGCTTTATAGGAATACCATTATTAAGATTCTGAAGAAGGACATTTGAAGTCTTGTTGATAGATTAAGATGGGTTCATGCTTTGTGTAGTTGCAAGTAATTCAGAATGTCAAATTAAATTAATATTGAAGTCCTTTATTATTGTTGGGACAGTTCCATGTAGATCTCCCCCTTTTTTTTTTGGAGTGGGAGTTAAGGCAGAGAGAACAAATGTTGATAGCTCTAAAAATAACCCAGCATCTGCTTTACTGCTTAAGTGGGTTGTAGTAAACCCTGGTTTTGAAAGGTCTCAGTTTGATGCTGCTGTTTCTGAAAGAGAACTTTAATCTGATTTTTGTGCCAGCATCTATACAAATACAAACTGAAATCTTGAATGAGTGGTGACTTTTTTTCCCCCAGTTGCATGTTCTGTGTTAAGAACAACATAATATACCGAGTCACTAATTGTCCCACACTAATACTGAGCACAGCTAGGTGAAGATCCTGTTTAGAACTTGTGCCTATTTATGGAGGGGCAGTATACTGCTTAGAGGAGGCTGACAGGTCACTCAATGCAGTTTTATAAATTTCAAGGAGTATAAGCTCTCAAGCCTTCTAGGATTTTATTGATGCTTATGGGGTGCTATGACTAACTTTTAAAGTACGTGCTTATCTTTGGACCTTATTAAATGGTGGCTGTGTAATGTGAATTGTTCAAGTCTTCCCAGCAGATTGGTGTAATTTGGAAACACAGACGAATTTGTAAGGGCATCTGTTACTTTTTCAGATGCTTCATTTAATGTATCAGAAGCCTGGAGGAGCATGTTGCAGCCATGTAAGGCCAAAAATTAGCAAGGAGTGTTAAACATTGATCATCTTACAAACTTTTCAGTGATAATTTTCTCACTGATGAGGGAAATTCCTTGCGCATTTAAACTTTTCTTCCAGTTTGTTACACTTTTGTAGGCAAAATATGAGTTTGCTCTATGCATATTTATCAGATTGAATTAATATTGAGTATTTTGGTAGCTTGATGTTTTGTTCCTGATGTTTTCATACACATAAGTAATATTGATTGCGGGGGGGGGGTGTATTTGGGATTTGAGGAATTTAAGGTTTTTTGTAACTGAAACAGTGTGTATGGTGAAAAGATTCATTTGTGGTGTTGGTTTTTTGTTTCCTCACCACTCTAAGAATTTTAAATACACAATTAAAACTCAGATACCTGAAACTTGAGTGATGCTAAATGTGATTTTTAGAGTAGTCTTGGCTTTACACGTTTCCTGGTGTGAGTAAGAGTAGACAATGAAGCACTTTTAATTATTACAACTCTCTTTTGCCTCTGCAATGCAGCTGTATAGTATGTAGAATTTTTTGCAGCTTTTGCTTGTGTTTATGTTGGCAATTAGTAGAGATGTTTGAGTTTAGTAATCTCAGCATATGATGAATTCCAGTAGTAGATGAACAAGAAGTGAAGCAACACTGAACATTTGTCTTACTGGGAGCCATCTAAGGTAATGAAGTGCCAGCTGCTGTGCATTGAGCTCACTGATGAACAGCTTGCAGGTCAGCGTTCTATTCTGGTGTATTTCTTTATCTGAATGTACAGGTAGAATAAAATGATTCGTGCTGTAGTTATTGTTCTGTCCACAGAGTGGTGGGCTTCATTTACCTGCTTATTTGCTGCACATTTAAAAATGTTTAAATGCCTGTCTGGTATCACCATCATGACTGAAGCATCTGCTTACAAGCAGCACTGTTAAATAATTCAGAGTGATCTGTGCCAGCAGCTAAGTGGTAGAAGCACTGAAGCTGCACCAGCAAAAAATGAGAATGTGTGAGGGACCGTGTGATAGCAAGGTCTTTTGGTCTGCCACCTCAGAGGAAGTGGTGGATAATTATCCAAGTGGCAGCAAAGCTGCAAAGGTTATTGATGGGTTAGTAACAACTGCGATTAATCCCTTAGGAATTAAGACTTCTCCCCTCAGAAGAGTGGTGGGATGATTAGCCCAACTGAAGTGCATCTATACCAATGCTTGCAGCATGGGCAACAAACAGGAGGAATTAGAAGCCATTGTGCAGCAGGAAGAGATAGGTGCCATTACAGAAACGTGGTGGGACAACTCTCATAACAGGAGTGCTACCATGGATGGCTATAAACTCTTCAGGTGGGATAGGCAAGGAAAGAGAGGCGGTGGGGTAGCCCTGTATGTTAGAGAGTGTTTTAATTGCCTTGAGCTCAATGATGGCGATGATAGGGTTGAGTGTTTATAGGTAAAAATCAGGGGAAAGGCCAACAAGGCAGGTATTGTGGTGGGAATCTGTTATAGACTGTTCAACCAGGAAGAGGAGACAGATGAAATATTCTACAAGCAACTGTGGGAGAAGTCTAATGATGGCTAGCCCTTGTTCTTTTGGGAATTTCAGCTTACCAGATGTCTGCTGGAAGTACAATACAGCAGAAAGGAAACAGTCTAGGAGGTTCCTGGAGTGTGTGGAGGATAACTGGTGAGTGAGCCAACTGAGGAAGGTGTCCTCCTGGACCTGCTCTTTGCGAACAGAGAAGGCCTTGTGGGTGATGATGGTTGGAGCATGCCTGGGGCACAGCGGTCATGAAATGACACAATTCTTGATTCATGGAGAAGTAAGGAGGGTGGTTAGCAGAACTGCCACCTTGGACTTCTGGAGGGCAGACTTTGGCCTGTTTAGGAGACTGGTTGACAAAGTCCCTTGGGAGGCAGTCCTGAGGGCAAAGGAGCCCATGAAGGCTGGTCGCTCTTCAAAGAAGGAAGTCCTGGAGGCGCAAGAGCAGCCCATCCCCGTGTGCTGAAAGATGAAGTGGTGGGGAAGAAGACCAGCCTGGCTGAACAGAGAGCTTTGGCAGGGTCTCAG